GTATTTTTTGTAGAGCTTCAATCTCTTTGGTGAAGTACTCCTTCTGCTCATTAATTTAATTCCAGAGCTCACTGAACTGTCCTTCTGAGTTTTCTTGTAAGTTATTGAGTTTCTTTATGACTGCTATTTTGAATTCTCCATCAGTCAGGTTGTAATCTTCTGTGACTTCAGGTTCTGTTTCTACAGAGCTGTCCTTCTCATTCTGTTCTGCCGTGTTACTGTAGTTCTTCATGATTTTTGATGATCTAGGTTCTGATGATGGTTTTTGATCCTCTGCTGGTGCATTTCTGGTAGTAACCACCTTTTCTTATTTGAGTACAGTTTTGGTTACTTTGGTTCTGGTCACCTGGGTCCCATGGTCCTCCACTGGGTCTCTGCAGGTTCACACACTGCAGTCCCGTGCTCCACCTGTGTTGCTGTTCCTAGGATGTCTTGGGGTGCTGGTTGCACTTCTCCCAGAGGTGCTGCATTCACTGGTGTCACTGTTCTTGGCAGGGGCCTGGGGACTCAGGAACTTGTGTACAGCTGCTGCTGGTGGTGAAGGTGGTGCCAGGGATGCCACCACTGGGGACAGGGTCACTGGTTCTCCTGTGCTTCTTGTTACTTCTGGTCAGACTCCCCCTGTCATCATCGGGCTGCATTTGCTGTTCCTGCCTCATCTACTCATGGTTGTGTCAGTAGGATGCTCTGCATTTGCACCAGCCAGGCCACAGCCACTCAGCAGAGTGCCTTCACTGAGGCAGGCTAGGCAACCACAGTTGGGTGGCAGGTCCTGCTTGCAGAGGTGGGGCTTCACACGGGCTGAGCCACCACCACTCAGCAGAAAGCACTCAACAGGCTGGGCCACCATGGCACACTGAGCACACATGCAAAATTTTACTTTTTGTAAATTTTGTAAATTTACATACAATGTTGAGATCAGGCCAAGTGTAACTAAGCACATATGTTACTTTACATAAATATACTATGAAACAATATAAAAAAAGAAAAGTATTTACCTAAAGAAGAAGAAACTGGGCAAACGACATATGGAGGACCAATAATTTTCACTGTGCATATTATGTTTTTATGTGAGTGAATGTATTCCATGTGAAAACTATTATATTTAAGAATTTAGGCTCCACTGTCAGAGTCTCATCTAGGAATCCTGGAGTCCTTCCCCAGGTGATCTGATGCACCTAGGGCTGACACACACCTTGGAGATCACTTCCTTTGTAGGTTAAGGCATACCTCTGATGCCAAGCTGACCAAATTCACCCCCACTCCACCACTCACTGAGTGACCTTGAGCAAGTGAGTTAATTGCTATCAGCATTTGCGGTGGGGAGCTGAACTATTGCCTTCTCCCTTCTCAGTGGTCTACCTCTGTTGAAAGGACCAAAAACATCAGTATCTGCAGAGTCCACACATGTTCTATGAAAGGTCTTTGACAACACCCACATCTTACATAAATATCTGTGTATCTATTGCTATAAAAATGAAATTTGTACACGAAAAGTTATTTCATTAAGAACACCACAATCTATAATCCATAGAATATCTCAAGCCATCAATGTGCACGATGGCATGATGAGACTTCTTGCAAAGTGAGGCAAGCTTTTGTTATTTTCAAACATGGTTCCATTTTAAAAAATAAAGAGTGGCTTCACACTTAACATTTAAAGATTTTAAATACCAAGATGATCATTTTTATGTCACGGTAAGATAACATAATGTCATAGAAAGATGTTCACAATATATTATTATATGAAAAACCCAGATTAACAAATATATATATATGTATATCAAATATATATAACGAATATATATTATATATGTGAGAAAATATCATTTTTTGGTTGAGGTAAAATTCGCATAACATGAAATTCACCATTTTAGCCACTGTAAAGCACACAATTCCGTGCATTTAGGACATTCATGATGCTGTGCAACCACCTCCTTTGTCGAGCTCCAAGACATGTTCCTGACCAAAGACCAGGCCTCATCCCTATCAGCAGGCACTCCCCATTCCCCCACCCTCCAGCCCATGACAAACAGCAATCTGCTTGCTGTCTCTATGGATTTGCCTATTCTGGACATTTCACGTAAGTGGAATTGTACAATATGTGACCTTTTGTGTCTGGCTCCTTTCACTTAACATCATGCTTTCAATGTTCATCCAAGTTGTAGGATGTGTCGGTGCTTCATTCCTTTTTATGACCAAATAATATTCCTTCATGTGGATGGACCACATTTTGCTTACCATTCATCTGTTAATGAATATTTGGATTATTTCCCAAAAATCAAACTTTTGGCAATCGTGAATAGTGTCACTGTGGACTTTCATGTACAAATTTTGGCTTGAACACCTGTTTTCAATTCTTTCGGGAATATACCTGGGTGTGGGTCATATGGTAATTCTAGGTTAAATTTATAGAGGAACCAACAAACGGTTTTCCCTCATGGCTGCACCATTTTACATTCACATCAGCAGTGTCTGAGGGTCCCAATCACTCCACATCCTCATCCACACTCGTTATTTTCCCTTTTTTATTTTCTTGCCATCCTAGTGGTTGTGAAGTGGTATCAAGTGTGGCCTTGATTGGCATTTCCCTAGTGGCTGTGATGCTGAGTAACTTTTCATGTGCTTGTTACCCAACCAACCAGGCCCTCAATCTGTGGGCTCCTGATAGGCTCTGAGACTTGTACCCTGTACCCCCGGACACACTGCAGCCTGACAGGAGCCAGTCCAGGGGCGGCTGCTGTCCAGGTGCTGAAGGAAACAGCCTCACTGCCACCCCCTCCACATTACTCTCGGTATTGCAGACCAGCGTGACCCCCACTTCCTGGAATATCCGGGCTGAAATGAAGTCCGGGTCATGCTTCTCTGGGTAAAAATACCATTTTCACTTCCTAGCTTGAGGCCAGCTTCGCATCGAACGCCCTTGTAATTTCTCAGGTATAACTATGGATATTTTGGACTCACTGAATCTTCTAATCATACTTCTCTTCAACAGCCAGTCGCCACATTCCTCAAAACTTAAATGTAAGCTTCATGACTTTAAAACATTTTAAATTTTAGGATGGGATACAAAAAGAGGGTCGAAAGGGAGGAAAGTAACCCTCACTGAGTGCTGATGCCCACCAGATATTGACCCAGTCATGCTGCACATGCTTGCTTATTCAGTCTCCACAGCAGTGCGGTAAAGTGCCTACACTTCACAGGAAAGGAACTGAGGCTCAGAGAGAGAAACAATTCTCCACAAGCCACACAGCTGGTAAAGAGCAGACTGAGATTGTGACGTTGGTAGTACAACTCCAGGGTGTGGTTGATCCAGGGTCATTTGACCCTGATGGCATAGAGGTGTCTGCTCCACCTGCTCCAAAGAGTAGTCTTGTCCTTGTGACCCAAGATGGAGCTCCACCCACCACCTCAATGGTCCATGCAACAGGAAGGAGGAGAGGGGAAGACTGGACAGGGAGAGCATCTCAGCTGTCTCTTCAAGAGGGTTCCCGGAATTACTATGTAGTTTTGACTTCTCCATATGGGACATGGTACAGTTCTTTAACCAGTCTACCTTCAAGAAAAGCCTTCAGGTATGATTTGTGTTACAGCCAGCCATGTGCATACCTACAAACTAAGGATTCTAAGAGAGCAAAATGCATATCCTGATACACAATTAGCAGTCCCCAAACAGGCCATCCTGCTGACTACCAAAACATCCCGTGTGTACCCTGCTTCCTAGACAAGGAACACACTCGCAACATCCCAAGGGAGTCAAACCCAAAGTCCACCTGCTGCCTCCATTCAGCCCAGAGTCCAGAGTCTGGGTGATGTGCAGGCCTCCCCTTAACCTGCTGCGGGCTCTTATGGCCTGGAAATCTATACGCTTAAAGGCAACCACCATTCCTACTACATCCAAGAGTGGAGTCATAACTGGACCACGACCACTTAAAATCCCAGTTGAGACTTCTGTTTTCCATGAATGGAAAGCCAGGCTACTTGGATTAAACATTCAGGTTTCTAAAAACAACTCTCAAAGCTGGATACCTTCTCATTTTCTTAAATGAATAACGACCTGAAAAGACAGTAAAGAATTAGGAAGACACTACTCAAATGAAAACAGAAACCCAGAGATAAAATGAACATTATGTTCATTTTATTACCCTGGAGGCATTTCTCCAGGCAAGAAAATGTGAATCCCTGTTTGGATGTCCTCGTGGTGGAGAGAGAAAAGGCAGAGCCCAAGGAGAGGGCAGGAGGGGAGCGCTCCTCACGTTGGTGGAGACCTCACAAAGCTCCACGCTCAGCGTGACAGCAAATGGAAGAGGAGGAGCCTGCAAGTGTCACTTCGCCTTGACTTTAATCTTCCTGGTGGCCTTGGGCACCATGAGCCTTGAACTTCATTTAACTTCATCCTCACCCAGCACGGCTCCTAGGATTCCTCTTACAGAAAGCTGCCTTCTTCAAATTTGACAGATATTATTTCAAATATGGCAGCCACTACCCAGGCAGTGGTAACCAGGCACACAAGAACACTGACCCTAGGAGTGAAAACCAGCAAAAACAGCAGACACTGCAACAGGGACAGTCAACACAACACTCTATAAAGCATCCGGCTTGTCACGTTCAAGTCAAGACAGTAACACAGTAACCACAGATACATAGCGAAGGGTTCTGAGGTGAGGAAAGATTGGGTATATTAGGAGATGGAACCGAAGTCAGAGTGCTCAGAGCACAGGTTCTCATCCCCAGCTCAGAGCCTCAAATGTGCCCCTTACGTCCGTCCTCCACCCTGGCCCCCTCCTGCTCAGACATCTCCCACAGCTCCCTACTGCCCACAGGATGCAGTCCCTCGTTGGTTTCTAGAAGAACTCTCGAGCGGCGTGGGGCCCTGTGGTCAGCGGGAGAGGCAGGCAGGGTGTCGGACTCAGAGACACCGGCCCCGCCTCCACCGTCCACGTCCCCTCCCCGTCCTCCACAGCCACCACCGCCCCCTGCTGGCTCCCGATAGGCTGAGGCAGAGGTGACAGCACAGATTTATTCCTGGGAATCTGCACAGTGAGGTGTGGGGTCGGGGTGGGTCCCGGGTCGGGAGGCCGCGGGTCACTGGGGGCCCGCGCTCAGCGGCTCCACCCGCAGCCACAGTCCGCCCTCGGCACGCAGGATCAGCTCCGGCTTCCGGCGTGGCTCCTCCCCGGCCGGCAGGACGCGGAAGCGCAGCAGCGTGAGCGCCAGGACCACCTTCATCTCCGTCATGGCGAACGTCTGCCCGATGCAGTTCCTGCGGGCAGGAGTCAGGGCTCTACGGCACCCGGGACCCTCATCCCTGCACCATCGCGCCGGAACCTGTCCCAGGACCCCCATCCCCGCACCATGGCACCGGAACCTGTCCCGGGATCCCCATCCCTGCCCGCAGGCAGAGAGAAGCCTGGGCCCCCACGAGGGCTTGCACGTCCCCCGAGCCAGGCCCACACTGCAGCTCTAGCTCAGACTAGCAGACAGGGGTCAGGGGCACTGAGCATACCAGGGACCCCAGGCCCCAGACCATTACCCATAACCTCTGGGGCGGGGTGTGGTGGGGGGTGTGGTGGGTGGAGGAAGGAGAGCTGGAACTCTTCCCACCTTCAGTGTTCCCTTTTTCCCCCCCCTCACAGTCATGTTGGGAATCTGTCCCAGACCCCTGCCCCCATCAACACATCCCCACCTCAGATGCCTGCTGCCCTCACCTGGGCCCCGCTGAGAAGGGAATAAAAGCCAGAGGTGACGTCTCCTTGGTGTTTTCTGGGTCAAAGCGAAAGGGATCATAGACCTGGGGGTAAGGCAAAGATAGGACTGCTGGGTGGGGTCTCCCAGGACCTCCAGCCATGGAGAGTCAGACGTGTGTATGATGTGGGGAGGTGATGTCTGATTTGCCAGGTCAGTACCCTGCGCCCTCCCCTGGGTCCCCTTAGGGGAGCAGACAAGGATGAGGGTGGGGAGAGGCAGCACCTCAGGGTCTGGCCACACGGATGGGCTGTGGTGGGTCCCGAAAATACTGATGAGGCAGATAACACCTGTGGGAGAGGAGGGGCCGTCAGGAAGATGTCCCCCCCGCAGGATGGGCCCCTCTTCCTGCCCAGGATGCTCCTCCCCTTGACATTGAGGGCACCTTTGGGGATGATCCGGCCATCTGGGAGCACAATGTCCTGGGTGCAACGTCGGGAGATGACAGTGACTGGAGGATGCAACCGCAGACTCTCCTTGATGCACATGGTCAGGAAGGGCAACTGGGCCAGGTCGTCCCTAAGGAAACCCCCCAACAATTATCCAGAGAGCCAAGACAGAGACCCCTCAGCCCTCCTCCTGCCCAGGTAGACCCTCTCTCCCTACAACAAAATGTATTCCAGATGGATCACACATCTCCAAACTCATTAAGTTGTGCACATTAAATATGTACAGCTTTTTGTATGTCAATAAAGTGGTTTGGAAAAAGAGAAAGAGAGAAAAGCAATATTACACAAGTGCCAGACACGGAAAATTTAGTCAGATATTTGTAGAAGCTCTCTGAGCAAAACACAACACCCAAATGTCAACCATAAGACGATTCACAAATGTGCATAAAATTGAAATATTCTTTATTGCAAAAAAACAAAATCAAGGCAGATAAATGAGTAAGAAATGAAATGAACAGATCCAGTCTTTAACTCTTATTTATCGTGGTACCAAATATACTAGCTAATGCAATTAGACAGGGGAAAAAAAGGAAAGTAACACAATTCAAAATGTGGGGGCAAAGATGTCAATTTTGGTTGAGGGTAATTTTATACTTAGAAAAGACAAGAGAATCCCCTGGAAAAAAATATAAGCATTGAAGTTCCTGTAAGGGGGCTGAATTCTTTTTCTTTAACCCTCTTCTTTTTGTGTGCTGATTTGAATTTTTATTGGCTGATACAGTTAACTGGTTGAAAATTGGAAAACTACAAAACACCGTCCCCATGGCCCAACACCACTCATTACCCTCCTCACAGTTTGCTGAGTTTGTTGCTTTTTATGTACCCTTCCAGAGTTGTTTTTGCATCTTAAAAAAATTATATAATATATACTATCTACACTATATAAAGTATAAAATTATATAGTAATATACTTATATAATAATTATATACTATATATGACACACACTACTCTGTATCATTTTGATTTAACAGTATAGCAATGTGTTCTTGTCCATCTCCTGAGACTTGTGTCAAAAAAAGGGGCTTCCCTACCCTGGTGCTATAAAATAATTTTTCCACACTTTCCTCTCAAGCTTTTAAGACTCCTTTATTTTTTATTTGAAATCTTTGATTCATCTAGATGTTATATTCTTATAGGACTAAGAACAGGTTGAATTAACTCTTTTCCAGGTAGCTTCCCAGCTGTTCCAAGAGCTTTTATTAAATGATCTTGATTTTTCCTATTGATATGAGACTCCTTCTTTGGCATTTACTATGTTCATTAAGCACAAAATTTATATGCATAACTTATTAGTTTTTCTATGCAGAAACAACAACCAGTTAGAAAAGATAATTTTTAAAAAGATGATGACAATATTTACATAGAATACCTGGATTAAACTTAGCAAAAACTGTGAAATCTGTATATTCCCAATGAACTTATAAATTTCTCTCAGTCCAAATAGAAGATACTATTCCCCATGGCAACAAAAGTATCTAAGGGTTAATTTAACAAGATATGCATAAAATGTCTATGCAAAAACATTAGACTCTATTAAAAGACTAAAGATTATTTTAATATCCAGAAACAGATATCCTCTCTACACTTTGGGGTGAATATGAAGTAATCTATTTTTCACAAGTCAATCATACATTCCAGTCAACCAGTAGAAAGTATCCAATTCAAATGAAAATCAACCTGACATTTTTAGAAATTTAAACTTACTTTAATAGTTTTTCTATAAGCATAAAAGATCATAAAGAGCTAGGTCAATTTAAAATTGAAAGATTAAAAAAAGGAGGAACAGGGAGAGATTCAGGGACAGTGGCACACCTGGAGGGGGCATGGAAGCTCCGTGCCCTTTCCTCATACCCTGCCCTATGCATCTCTTCCATCTGGCTATTCCTGACTTATACAATGTCTGATAGACCATTGAGAAATTAAGCATTGGAGGAGAGTGACATCAGCATCATGGCAGAGTGAGTGCTTCCCTTGGCCTCTTCCCTCTAAGATACAACCAAAAGGACATGCATACACCAACAGAGGACATATACATGTCACAAAAGACGTCCTGGAGACCCACACAGCCACACGCCTGAAGGTGGTGGTGGGGCTGGATCCTCCAGAGGATGTGGAAGGTGATCCACAGGAGCTCCGTGGAGAGAGACAGGCTGCAGGAGCAGGAAATGTGCAGGTGAAAAGGGCGCCCCCTCCCCACCTGATTCTCCAGCCCCAGAATCATGTGGAGTACAGCACAGTGAGCACGGAAGTGACAGTGGGGAAAGTGTACAGGTGAGAGAGGTACCCTGCCCCCACCCAGCACTCCAGCCACTATTACACAGTGCACAGAGTGGTGAGTGAGGGAACAGTGGCTGGGAAAAGGGAAAGTGCACAGTCCTGCAATCGTCCAGAGCTCCATACAGAGAGACAAGCAGGGGCCAGAGGAAGTGCTGGGGAGGGAGAGTACTCCTGCTCCTGCCCAGTGCTCCAGATCTGCCATTGATCAGTCACTCAGAGAGAAAAGTAGTCAGTGGCTGGAGATGGGGAGCCCCAAAATACACATGCTGGGCCCAAAATACACAGTGCCTGATCCCCATCCAGTGGTGGTACGTGGCAGCTGCAACCAGATAAGGGCACCATGAAGAAGCAAAACTCCACTCCGTCAAGCAGTATGAGTAGGTTTGTTAAATCTCCAGACCAGAAGGAAAGTGACAAATACACAGAAGCCAACCCTGAAGGCACAGAAATCCATAACTTAAATGACAAAGAATTCAACACAGCTATCATTAAAAAAAATCTCAACAAGTTACAAGAAAACACAGAACAAATTAACAAATTCACGATCTCCTTCACAAAGGAGATTGAAACCATAAAGAAGAACCAATCAGAATTGTTAGAGATGAAAACCAAAGTGGATGAAATAAAGAAAAATCTGGATCCGCTAAACAACAGAGTTGACAATATGGAGGAGCAAATCAGACAGTTAGAGGATAGAACTGTAGAAATGCTTCAGAGGGAGGAGAAGAGAGACCTCAGACTAAAAAGAAATGAAGGAGCTCTCAGAGAAATATCTGACTTAATCAGGAAATGCAACATAAGGGTTACAGGTATTCAAGAGGGGGGAAGAGAAGTAGAATGGAGTAGAAAGCTTGTTCAAAGAAATAATAGCTGAGAACTTCCCAAATCTCGGGCAGGAGCTGGAAATCGATGTGAAAGAGGCCTTCAGCTCTCTTAACATTGTCAATGTAAAAAGACCCACTCCAAGGCATATAGCAGTGAAGCTGGCAAAAGTCAAGGACAAAGAAAATATACTAAGGGCAACAAGGCAGAAGAAAATAACTTACAAAGGAACCCCTATCTGGCTTTCAGTGGGTGTCTCAGCAAAAACCTTGCAGTCTAGGAGAGAGTGGAATGATATATTCAAAATCCGGAAAGACAAAAACTTTCAGCCAAGAATACTCTATCCAGCAAAAATCTCCTTCAGATATGATGGAGAAATAAAAACTTTCCCAGATAAACAAAAGCTAAGGGAGTTCATCACCAAAGGACCCCACCCCCACAAGAAATCCTCAAGAAGTCCCTCATACCTGAAAGGAAAAACAAGAAACCAGGAAAAGAACTAGAAAGCTCTGAGCAAGGACATGAATAGGTAGGCAATAAACAGAAAATGGCAGCTCTCTATCAGATCAGGTTAGTAAACACTTAACTTTAATATCAAGAATAAAGAAAAGGAAAATACCAAAACAAAAATGATCTCATCATTTTAGCCACAAACTCACAACACAAGATGGAAAAAGATATGACAAAAATAACCTAGAAGGGGAAGAGGAAAGAGGTAGAATCATCTTAGTCTAAGGAAATAAGAGGCTATTAGAAAATGGACTATCTCAACTATGGATTTTTTTTAGAACCTAAAGGTAACCACTAAACAAATAATCAGAATAGAGACATATATGATAAACAAGGACAAAACGAAGAAAACCAACAGAGAGAACTAACTAATCAAATTGGTAGTCTGAAATACATGGGACAAGAAACAAAGGAAATGCAGAAGAACTGGGAAATGTGCAATAAGATGGCAATATTAAGCCCTCATACATCAATAATCACTCTAGTCAGAGTAAAATGGGGGGGTGAGCTGACCTGGGACTCTCTCCCCTCCAAACTACAACAAAGGATTGGAAAAAACTGAATTTCAGCTAATAAACCTAATGCCAGACCATCAGAGACCTACAGCACCAAAAAGGCAGAGGACGGAGATGCTGCAGCAGGCCTCGGAGAAGCTGGAACAGGGCAGGAGAGAACATCGCTCCCTCCCCTAGAGACTGGGATCACTGCCACGGGTGCGGGGCCGCATGACGGGGGGATCATCCAGGACTCCCGCCGCCGGTGCAGCGGAAACCCAATGACGGGGGGAAGCTTGCCTGCGCGGGGACCCCAGCAAACCAGTGCCCCGGCAGTCCGGAGAACAGAGCTGATCCAATCCAGATCTGTGCACGAGAAAAACAGCCCCTCCCCCGGGCAAACCACGCTGGGCGCAGCCATCTTGCCCAAAGGCAGAGTGCTCCCAACGCGTGGCTCTAGACCCCCATCTAGTGGCGACATGCTGTAACTGCAACCGAATTCTACCATCATGAGAAAAAAACGCTCCTCTACCATCCAGCAATTTAGAAAAGCTCCAGACCAGAAGGAAAACAATAAAAACACACAATTAAGTCCTGAGGCTTTGGAAGTAGGTAAACTAAGTGAAAATGAGTTCAGAGTAGTTATAATCAAAAAACTCAATGAGGTAGAGAAAAAGATAGAGAAACAAGCCAACGAGATCTGGAGCTACTTCACAAAAGAGATAGAAACTATAAAGAAGAATCAAACAGAATTACTAGAGATGAAAAACACAATGGACCAGATAAAACAGAATATGGATTCCCTGAATGCCCATGTAGACACCATAGAAGAGCAAATTAGCATAATCGAAGGTAGACAGGCTGAAGGGCTCCAGACAGAGGAAGAAAGAGAACTAAGAATTTAAACAAATGAGGAAAATCTCTGAGAGATAGCGGATTGAATGAGGAGAAAGAATTTAAGGATCA